CTTGACGTAAGCCTAACGAGTATTTTTTAGTGTTACTAAATTTCTTACGGTCTACGAGGCTTAAAGTCCTTTGGGCTATTCTTTAAAATCCAGACAAGAAAATAGTCTAAAATCAATTAATTTATATATATATATATATATATTTCAAACTAAGCATATTCTAACTTCGGTTAATGCTGTAACTTAAGCCTAAGCATAGAAACCCAATGGAGTAGTACATTCATTAAAGTTATTACTGTATTAGGGCTCGTAGCCCGTTATGAAACATTATAACCACAAATTTTAGCAAGGATTATTGCTTATACATTATTAAATTTTAAAAAATTCTACTCGGCATATTATATAATCTAGATTCAGTCATTTTAGTCTTATATTCCGCTTAATGCTAATTGGCTCTAAATCTCGGATGTAAATTCTTGTGAATTATGCTTATGCAATAAGTTATAGGCTTAGCATTTATCCGTCATTACACTGGATATTTATCAGAATGTAAGCTCAAGAATAAAAAGAAATATTTGAGGAATTTATTGATTTATCTTTTTTATCATACCTATGGTAAGTAATTCGCAAACATATATGGAGTTTGATACGGTTAAGTATTTGACTTCTATATTTCTAATTTAATCTGGAGTAGGTAATTCACTATATATATATATATATATTTTTTACCTGGATTAATTCGGATTTTTTAGGTTTCCTGACAATAGTTATTTAACAAAGACCTACAAAATTGGCAAAATGTATTAATATTATTCTATATTATAGTTCTTATTATTCATTATAATGCTGTTATAATATTTAACTTACAGCACGTGTGTTGTTTTTTAATGCATTTAAAATACAACACTATCACGCTATTCAAATATTTTAATAAGGTCTAGTAGCATGATTTATTGTTTAAATAAAATATTAATAAATAAGAATAAAAATTAATAAATATTTTACAAGTTCAATGTTGAAATGCGATCGGAGGATTATTTGTATTTTCTAGGTTTTCACCCGATTGATTTTTTTTTTTTTTATAGAAAGTCATATCATCATTGTATATAATGATTGTGTGTGAGGTGGGGTTCTCAACTGTGAACCTAAATTCGTGCGAAGTACTTTATAAATTCCAGTTTCAAATAGATTGGCTAAAGAAAGAAAAAAAATCAAAAAGTGGCGCGAGGAAGTAAGTAATCATATATAAATTTATTTTGACACCCTGATTTTTGGGCCCCCAAATCACGTGCTCCCACCCATCTCCCCGCGGTCGCTGGGACTGCGGGTATCAAAGAACGCCTTTGGATGTAGAGTGTAAAACGTGCAGGGAGGAGAAACATTCGTTGAGGCCGTCGGGGTGGATAGCCCCAGTTTATGATATGGCGAAAGCGTGATTGAAATACTATTATCACTATGCATTCTTGTTCCTCTTCTTCAAAAAAAAAAAAAAACTTTAAGGAACTGAATAAAGAATGTAATGTTAAATATAATAGGCTTACTATATTTCTGAATGTTTTCAAACTTTCAACATTCTGTTGTTAGGTTGAAAACAAAGATAGAAGTTCGAAACGTCACACGATAAGCTGGCAATACTCTATTACTGCATACCGGTGTGATTTTTTTTAAGCTTTTTAACCCTAATACTATCAAATATATTATTGCTAAATGTTAGTTATTCTGACATTTTAGAGGTGTAAATGTAGCATGCCAGTTTGAACGATCTTTTTAATAATTGGTAACAAAAGAGAAAGGCTGTAACTTACTTTCATGTTTACTGTTAAACTCTGATGAGATATAATTTTAATAAGTATGGTGTGTAGTATGTAAAAAGAGGCAAGCTTTTGGACAAGTCTTTTTCTTTTCAATTTATGCTTCTGAAGAAGGGCTGTTTTCAGCCTGAAAACTTAGGCACAATAAAGTATTTATTATTGTTGGATATGGCTGACTTATCTCTAAAGCAACAAGTTTAATTGTTTCTCGTATTGTTTGTGATACGCATTGTTACGTTTTTCCACCAACAAATGTGGATGACATCAAATACACAGTTTTCATGGTTTGATATAAATGCCTTTACACATCACTAATAGCCTAAAAAACTTCAGGCATTTGAACAATACGTGTCTATCCCGTTACAATGAATTATCCATAATCAATCAACAAACTAGCTGGTAAATTAACTGTGCATTTTTTTCCCCCACTAAAATGTGTAACTTCAATGAAGAAAATAATCCATTAGTGACGTAAAGTTCTACATTTTAATGGAAAAAGAAACACAATTTACAATTAATATCAAATGAAATAAAAGGGTTTATCGATTTACTCATGGTTACGTTGACACCTAGAATACATTTATAATTTGACGAGTAGTTTATCATTTGTTGCTGTTTTTTTCAAATTAAATTATTTGAAGTCATTTGCGTTTAAAAAGACGTTATTGTTTTTGTTTTTCTTAGCAACAATTTCATATGGCTTTGATTTTTTTATTATTCGAATATTGCAGCCGGTTTCTAGCGTTGTAAATCCGCAGACATACATACCTCTGTGCCACTGGGGGACAATTATTGGTGGAGTTCGTCTTTTCAACTGTTGAAACAAATTTTGTTTAAACTATTTATACATCATATTGTTTGTGGGACCGTAACTTTGTTGGTTACGGAAGAATTGAGCAAAAATAAATACCATTGATTTTTGCATGAAGTTCACAATATTTAGGTCATTTTTTTTTAAAGCTGAGTATTGTAACAAGCCAAAAAACAAACAAAGCCCAACAAGATTACTCAGTATGATGCACCGGTATTGAACAGTCGGTAATTTAAAATCTAATGGCCAATAGTCGAATTCAAACGTTAACTACGCTGATCTACGAACGACGTCACAAGGTATTTAATCTTGTTTTATGATGTATAATTGGTGCAACTGAATTAAAATTGTAAACCTACTGAAAGCAAATTTCGAACTTGTGGACAATTTGTGTTATTTGCAAGGCGCTCGAAAAAAATATCTAAATCGTAGTTGCAAATGTTTGATAGAAATTTCCAACATAGATAACAAAATCCTGGAAAATGACTTTTCTAAGTACATGGTGTTGAAAAAACAAATACCAAAACATGGCACGAACGACGAGGAATTGGGGTATGTATTATAAACAGATTGAGAAAATCGCCTGACAATAAAAAGTCGGTAAAGTTTAAAGTGTTAAACAATGCATTAGAATTAACAGGGAAGTAAGTTAAGAAATGTGTTTGCTGGTAATTTGGAGGTTGAATACATTATACTTAAACTATGTTTTGAAAATCTGGCCTGTCGAGTCATCCTTTATCTGATGACCATGCATCTTGAAAACAGCCTTGCAGCGTAGTTTTCATTGCACAAGGTTCTGCTGTACATGTCCAAAGTACACCACACCTCCCTGCTGCTTTCTATAATCCATGTAGTGTAAGAGGATCGACAGATAAAGGTCACCTTCTTGTGTTTTGTCAAGACAGGATCGACAGATAAAGGTCACCTGCTTGTATTTTGGCAAGCCAGGATCGATAGATAAAGGCCACCTGCTTGTGTTTAGATGATGGTCTGCCTTGTGTAGGTTTCTGAGCAACTGTACCATTGGCTTGAAAGCAACTAGGGCCCAATATTGTTAACGACAATGACACTTGTAGTCAATTCCCAAAAGCCTGTTGTGGCTGTCCAGCTTACATCTGCCCAGTGGATCTCCACATGATGTCTTATTTGAGTTATAACTATAGTTCATTAAAACAATGTGAAATACCATAAACTCTGTGATACACTTCAATGTCAAAATTGAGACATGACTGTATGAGAAAACTACATATAATATAAGCTAAATGCCCAATTATTTAAATTTTGATCACAATACTGATCATTATATTCCATACTTGGAAGGGCGACATTATTTCATGAGTAGTTTCGCCTTGTTATCTATACTATAAAGTGACATGTGTCTGTCAGTCTGTGACGAACATATATTCAGCTTCTTAGGGACTGAATAAAGAACGTAGTGTTAAAAACATATAATATGCCTAATATTAATGTCTTATGACGAGTATGATTAATTATAGCCATGCTTCGCCAGCTTAGTAATAGCATAAAAATTGTTGCTATAACAAATGGGTTACATAAGTGGTTTTCGGACCACTGCTATGTTTGTTGTGTCCCAACCAGTTTAATGAGCTATGGACTGAGCGAAACGCGTCGTTGGCAATGGATATGGCGAACATAGATAGTGTGGTTGAAATAATATCATGCACTCTCCTTCTTGAAAAACCGCAGAAGACTGAATAAAGAATGTAGTGTTTAAGATATAACAGATCTAATACTAATGTTTTATGACTAGTATAATTAATTATAAGTTAGATAACATATATTGAAGATAGTGACACTAATATGAAGAAGCTAGCCAGTAGAACTGTATCTCTAAAAGTTTTACGCAGGCCGAGAGTAGCTTAATGGTTAACGTGCCGGGTTGCAGATTGAAAGGACCAAGGTTCGAGTCAGTATCTAAATATGGGTTTCGTGTAAATATTTGTAGGACTTGAAATTTACAAACACACACACACACAGCCGCTTTTGTTAACTTCGTATTAATCTGTATTATACCCTACTTCCTCAATACTTATTCATAACATTATATTAAACAAACTAAAAAACGAGATTTTCTAAGTAAGTCACATGCGTTTTTTGATATTTTCAGTATGAACGAACCATATGCGACACATAAGATAAACGGCCATGTCAAAGACCTCTGTATAACCCTCCTTAATTTAGAACTGCTGACCAGAGGAAGGGCAATCAATCAGTAACACCCGTCTTCTAGACGTCCACCCTTAACTGAGTAGCGGAATTGTCTGCTATAACACCCCCATATCTGAAACTGCAGTGTTTTCAACAGCATATCATGTATGAAATTATAAACAACTATTGATTTTTTCTTTTTAGTTTTATATAATTCTAAGTAAAATCTTTTAAAACTTTGCTACATCATAAGCAACATCAGTACGTACCTTCTGTAACAAAGATGAGTTTCAAATAATTGAGTGATTAACGACCGGACGAAACTTGCTACCTGGGAAGGGCTGACTGATTTTAGGGCAATACGTCAACTTACGTCAGTATGAGATGTAATTTCGCATTACATCATCTCTGGAGAAGAACTCTTGGGTAGCGAAAAGAAACCGTTAACCCCTTCAATTTCCAATCCAACTATCTCTCAAGACGCCACATTATCCTTGAACACTCAGTCTGTAGTTTTTACTTTTGTAGCAGCCCACGAGAATATGAAGGTTAAAGGAATAACACCGCAGTAAACCCAAGACTTACGCAGATTATGATGGATCCACGCGCTAGGGGAAGGTACATAATTACAGACAGGGTTGGGTAACAGAGGCGTCATGAAAGTCTGAGTGAAATCCGAAAATATCTCTGTGACACTGTATTTCAGGCAATCACCAGAGTAATGTGCAAAAATCATCTTACTGGTTTTGAACAAAGCTCACTAATATACGTATATATATATATATATATATAGAGAGAGAGAGAGAACTGTGTACTGTGAATAGTTTCTTGACGAAAGCATGACAATACATTAGCTGAAGCTTTAAATAGAAGAAAAACGAATATGCTTACACGTAAACTCACTTAGTAATAGTAAATGCTGATATATGAATTTAGGTTTAAGTGGGTTTGAGAGGCTTATTTTAACACGTTCGCTGCCATTTGCCCCACCGGTGGGTGAAAGACAATTATGTTTCGAAACCAAATTTCTCTTGTGGAATATGAGTTTGGGACACTGTGACTGCTCCTTGGCACCTCTTGAATGGTTAAATTGTTTAATACTTAATTTATTATGCGGCAGTAAAAGTGTTAAGGATCATTAAGTAAAGTTGAAACTACGATGAATTAAGATGTGATTTATAAAGTAACCCATTAACAGCGCAATTCATTAGTTGCGTATCCCCCCCTTTAACGGTATCTTATGGAATGATGAGGCATTTGTAGTGATAGTACACAAACATATAGACAATTAGGCATAACGTATGCGCTTACTATAGTAAAATTACATATCAGTAATGGCTGTGTGACGTAAAAATTTTGTTCAACCTCTATGTTGACCAGTAATGGCTGTGTGACGTAAACATTTTGTTCAACCTCTATGTTGACCAGTAATGGCTGTGTGACGTAAACATTTTGTTCAACCTCCTTGTTGACCACAATGAAGAAATGTTGATTTTTAGAAACGAAATCAATATGGTCCGTCTAGTCATTAATTTAGTAAAGCAGGGTTGCAACACAAATTTGAAAAGTGCAATTAAACATCCACACATTTAAACAATACGTTCAATATGGACTTAAGAAGAAAAAAAGTCAAAATAAAAATGCAAGGAGTGGACTTTGAAGAACATTGCTGCGTCAAGTTGTATGCGTCAGCTCGAATACAATCAAACTTTACTCCTAATTACAAAGAATTAGGCTTGACATCCCCTGGTCGACTTGCGATCTGCGGGTCGAGGATTCGAATCCCGTCACAGAAAATACTCGCCCTTTCAGCCGCGGGAGTGTAATAAGGTTACAGTTAATCCCACTATTCGTGGGTAAATAGTAACACACAAGTTAGCGGTGGGTGGTGTTGACTAGCTGCTTTCCTCCTAATCTATCACTTCAAAATTACGGATGGCTAGCGAAGATAGCCCTCGAGTATATTTACGCGAAACTCAACGAACAAACAAGTTACAAAACTGGTCTTTAATGTACAGAAGGTCAAGATGAAAAGTTAAATTGTTTTACGCAATAATTTTACTCTGCTCTGAGAGCCACGTTTTTATTTCTACTATACATTTAATGCATTATTTCAAATGACTATTAATAAAAAAGTGTTAGAATTTTAAAGTCATTTTTTGGGGTACTTTTGTTTGTTTGTTATTAAGTACAAAGCTTCACAATGGGGTATCTGTGCTCGTGGGTATCGAAACTCTAGTTCTAGCGTTGTAAGCTGTGAGACTTACAAATGAACGTGCCTGGCATGGCCAGGTGGATAAGGCGCTCGACTCACAATCTGAGGGTCGCGGGTTCGAATCCGCATATTACCAAACATGCTCGCCCTTTCAGCCGTGGGGGCGTTATAATGTGACGGTCAATCCCACTATTCGTTGGTAAAAGAGTAGCCCAAGAGTT